AAGAGTTTTCTTTTTGGTACTTTTGAATTATGGTTGTATAAAATTAGAAATTATGGAAGATATCAAAAATTCTGAAAAGCATTCAGTACCTCGTGGCTGATACTTTGATACCCATAGGTGGTATTATATTGCCATATCCTGTTTTATTACTGTGGAATTACTTTTTCCCCCTCCCTTATAAGATCTCTTTGTAGCATGTTTATTCTACTTGCCAATGTTTGAATTAAATTTGTTTTGCAGGTGAAATGAGTGAAAGTCAAGCAAAGAAAGTTCGAATCAAAGAAGTTGATGGTTGGACCCTCAAGATGATCATTGAATATATTTACACAGGGGAAATTACAGTTACAGAAGAAAATGTACAGGTAAGTGAGATGATTATATTTATTGATCATAAAACACTTATGGTGGGACAAACCTGGTCTTTGTGGTTCTGGCGAAGGCAATATTTATTTCTTAGCATATGACTAAAAAATGTGCACTTTTTAACAATATTTCTGTTTTTCTTCTTGTTCTATTGTAGCATAAAATAATCAATAAGCATCTTGCGCGTACTTGCATTTTAAAAAGACCTGCTGAGTTTTACAGTCCTTGACAAAATACACTTAATTGTATCAAGCAAACGTAACAAAAAAGATTAGGGTTAGAAACCCTGGAAAAGTTAAACGAATCCATTGTTTGAAGAATATATATTAGTCATTTTCATTTAAGACTATACCTATATCTACAATAACAGAATTTCCTTGTGCAAAAGTGAACACATTTTATATCGTAGTAAATAAATAAATGGTACATTTATGTGCACACTTATGCATTCTTTGTGAAACCAGAAAAAATATATTACTGTGCCTATTATTTATTTTTTTATCATTGCGCCCAAAAGGTTCTAAATTTAATTGACTGTAGAAAAGTATGTCCTTAATCATGAGTCCTCTGAGCACAATTTCTCTTTTGCCATAGAAAACATTTAAATTGCTAGGCAGATTTAATTTAAAGAATGGAATGGACACAATCATGTTGGTTAAGCAATCAATTGGGGAAAAAATCATATTTTAAGTAATAGTTAATATTTTTAGGAGTTGTCAGTAACTAAAACAAGGTAATAAAATCTATGACCAGGCTGCATAATTTTTCTAGACCAAAGCCATAATTCACCTTTGACAGCTATGTCCTACAGTTGAAAAACTGGTGAATGGTAACAGGTAAAAATAAAATGTAATTTAGTTCCATTTGAAATTTATTTTTTGAGTACTCCGCAATTGCATATTTTAAAATGTCTGATTTTTATCACATTAAAATTACCTGTTAACAACTTTTGAAAACCACACCCAATATAATGATGGAACCTCATCCAAGTCCTTTCTTCCCATAGAATCAAAGTAAAGGCATATAAGGTGCATATTCCAAATATTACTCAGTGTATCTATAGTCTGTTAAAATCAACACAGTGGAGGATGTTGTCTTCCACAGCCTCTGTGAGAACTGTCAAGCTATATATATTCAGGAAAGGAAATTAATAGCTGGATCTTTAAGATGCTCATAAAAATATGTTCATTCAAGGGAAATTATAGTTACAGAGAAAAATGTATGAGTGGTAGAACTCAAGTAAATTATATTAAGTAAGTAAACTATATTATTTAGCAAGAGTTTAAAATGAAATCAAGATCTTCACAACCAGAACCCTTGCAGGAAAAAGTTGCTAATCAAATAAAACACTAATTTTAGTATAGAACAAATAATACATTGCAAAATGATAATTTCACAGTTACCACCAACTTAAAAATCAAAAGCACAGTGCATATTGTGGTAAAATATAAAGGAGAAAATCTTATATCAACTTTGTATTACTATTCTAATGAGAGTTGGGTTTGACAAACAACATAGTAATTTTGGCTTAATTTTTTGCCATATGTTTTCATGACAACAGATGCCAAAACAAAATCCAAAGTAAGAAATTTTTTAGAACAATATTAATGTCAACATCCAGCTCAAGAATCTAAATAAAATTCCAGGTTCATTCCAGTTACGAAAATTTTATTGTTTATTGAATACACTGCGTGGTAGTGTCGAAGCAAAACTAACTCTGAGGTTACAAATACTGGTTTATAGAATTAAACAATAATTTCCCTAGCCAAACCCACAACTTCATACAGTCCATATAAACAAGTTCCCTTTATTATGGGAACTATCTGCTTCTGTCCCACACATGTTACGATGTCCTTGAAAAGGTTTTTAGGCTCTCAAGTTCTTCAGCAGAATCATAGAGGTTTCGTTTCTCCATCTAACCCATCCTAAAGCAAACCCCCACCCCCACCCCGCTTATGCTAACAAGAAGTTGAAACAAAGAAGCACGTAGCCTGCCAAAGGTTCACTCTTGACAATTCATTTTATGTTTTTTAGAACTTTGATCACACTGCATGTATTTTGTCTAATGTGTTTCTGGTTGTCAGCAATTAGATATGTCGAGTGCTGTTGATAATTGGCTTGAGTATCTTTGAAGAACAGTTGTCGCTCAAGTTCAGTTACTGCAAGGTTTTAATTATTTTTGGAATGTTTTTATTTTACATTAGTTGAGGCAAGTAGATGTTATTTGGAATGCAAACCATGTAGATGGTTCCTAATGTAAGAGTTTACTGAGGTTTGACATTGCCTCCTAAACTAAATATTCTTTACTGGCCAAATATGATTGGACACCTTTTTCTTGTGCATAAACTCTTAGTGTAGATACAAACAACAAAGTTATATAAGATATCAATAGGAGAAGGAAAGATGAGAAGGATAATAGTAATACAGCCCTACCACATGGGTAAATGTGCTTAGTGCTGTGGAAATTAGATATTTAGCAGAGTGATGGCATGGGGTGGGGGGAACTATCTTTCTGTCTAGTATGTAATGCCCTATAATGGCATCCTGAAGGGAGAAGCTGAAACAGTTTATGTCCAGGATGTGAGAGGTCCATAGATATTTCCTTAGCTCTCTTTCTGACTCATGTAGTATACAGATCCTCAATGGAAATCAGGATGGTTGCAATTGGTTTTTTTTTTTTTTTTTTTTTTTTGGCAGTCCTAATTATATCCATCTGTACCTGTCTTGTTTTGTTGCTGTACAAAACCAGACAGTTATAGAAGTGCAAATAACATATTCAATAATTCCTCTGCAGTACTGTATCAGCACCTTCTTGGGCAGTCTGAGCTTTCTGAGTTGATGCAAGAAGAATATTCTTTGTTGTGCTTTTGAAAATGATGTTTCCAATGTTAGATGTCCATTTCAAGTCCTGGGAGATTATAGAATGTTGGAATCAGTAGTGGGTTTCAAAAAAAAATTAGAACCTTTTCTGTAGGTGTGGCCTGCTTTGTGGGAGTTGCTTGCCAGACATGTGACTGGGT